ATAGAACAGTTTTCCTCATGCGTTACGCATAAACTAAATGTGATAAAAGTAAGGAAGTGACTAAAACTTGAATAAATTACCACAATTGATTACATGTTGTTTACATGATTTTCATTTCGGTTGGATTCTCAAATAAGCAAGTGTCATTTTATTATATGTTCATATATATACGACAATCTACAGTCTACATAGACTGTAGATTGTCGTAAAACTCTAAACTGTGCATATACATATATGCACAGTTTAGTACAGATCCTTGATTACTTGCTGGTGTAACTTTTTTAAACCAGAGTGGTTGAATAAAACTTAATAGCCAGTTATCTCTGAATCTGGAATACAGAAGTAGGAATAATATATATTCAAATAAACTTATTATAAGCACTTTTAAACAGTTATATATTTTTTAATCTGATTCGGAATGTAGACTCATCTCAAAAAGAATTAGCAAGAATTTTGCGAGTTGTTCTTTTAAATAATATTATACATATATAGGTAAATATTGATAAGCAATATTATTTAATATTTTGTGAGAATAGCAACCGCGAAATAGCAATGTTGACATAAGTAAATAAATAATTACTTGAGAAACAAAATCAGTTATAATTAACTGAGCAGACCATTCCCCACAAGCAGCACGCATTCACAAGTATAACGATGCCAGCAATAATTGCTTAAAAATAAATATTATAGTATCTATGGTATAATATGGAATATTATTATAAATTGATATTATTGACAACTTTGAACAGTAACATTAACACGGTTAACAGTGTACATTATTACTGAGTTTCAGATCAGATAATATAATATTTATCATGTTTGATTCCGTTTTAAGCTGACTGTACTTATTTAAATATATTATAATCTTGTTGCTGTAATTTCCAAAAAAAGTAAGGTTTAATGTTCCGGACAGGTAGGTAAGTAGGCGTGATACTTAAAATGCATTTAGACTGTAATTATGTTTGGAACGGCAGGGGAAGTACAGCTATCAGATAAACGTAAAAACTAATTCCGCATTATTACTTGTACGTACCTAATACATTTGTTGTGACCGCATTTACTACACGGTTAACTAAATATTTTTATTATGTAATGTTTATCTGACAGGTAGGTATATAATAAGTAATACTTACGTCTTAAAGTTGTTACTTATTCCATTAGGTGTGAAGTCAGTAAAACCTATCTTAAAAATAGAGGATATATATTGTTTATTCGAATAAGCTTAAATTTAAGCATGTTTGAATATGATTTTTTTATTCTACCACTCAATATTCAAATCAACTTAAAGAATGAACAAGAAAATTACCTGTAGCTCTTACAAATAAAAATTAGAGAATAAACTACCAAATATGTAAGACAAGACTAAATTACATATACATATAGTTGGTTGAGTAATAAAAATAAAATTCATCATAGTAATTAGAGCAGACCAGTCTCTGTGAATAGTTACAATTTTCATCTATGTAACCTTTATTTGAAGTTCTTTGCATCCTGCTGCATTTTAGCCACCAGTTTGCTTTGTAGTAAGATATGTCAGTGACATTGCTGGTATTAGTACGTGATACCGTAGTCCTCCAGTATGGCAATGCTTGAGGTATAGCCATTTGATAATAATATCCCTGTTTCTGTTCATGTGAGATATCAGCATCTTTCTCAATTAACGGCCTCGCTGGTCTAGCAATTTAGAGCACCACTTTAATTTCGATGGTCCCAGGTTCGATTCCTCGCACCACACTGCAAACGTTTATATTCATGAGTATAATTGTGTGTGTGTAAAAAAAAATACATCTATGTATTCACAAGCTCTAGCTAACTTAATTTGGGTCTAAATGCGCTGTGTGAATTGTCAAGAAGAAAAAGAAATCTGATAGGTACATGAAAAAATATTTGTAAGAGGTTTTTATATATATGTTATTAAATTTGAAGAATAATCTGTTATTATCACACGCGTATTGTTTTATCAAATTAAGTCCTAATATATTTTAAATAACATAGATCCTATTTTATCTAGTTATACTGAGTTCGAGATAATATGGCATAGGTACCTTTGTTTGTTTGCTATTAAATTGCTACCTACAAAAGCTCACGGTAAATACCCGTACAGAATTATTATTAATAGGAACACTCAATAGAAAAACAACAAGGTTAGTTTCTATTATTGGATATATGTTATTTTTAGAGCTAATTTATAGTTACCTCCAAAATATAATCAATATTTGGGATTTTTTCTGAACACTTAGTATTGTTTTTTATTTATTAAGATTATGTTCCTGTACAATTATTGTCATTCACTACATAATTAAAATTGACACGTTTGTGTTATTGTTTGCGAGGTGATCTGCTGAAAAACAAAGAGTATAAAGAATAAAATCATAGAGTTTAATTCTTCTTTTAATAGTATTCAATTAAACTTACATTTTCACACTTTTGAATAGTCATTACTTATTTTTTATTCGAAAAGCAATCTCATCACAAGAACAACGAGCAAGAAATTTGCGTATTGCTTTATTAAATAATTAAGTTGTAACTTTACATTTTTAAGTTGAAATGTGTGAACAAACTGCCAACTAGCAATAATTAATTAGAGTCATAAATAGTATAAATCGCGATTTTGAGTTACATGTACTTCTAAAATTACATTGTTTGAAGAAAAGCTGACCGAGAGAGTCCAGAGTGCACCGTAATACAGAGTGTCCTCTCTGGACCGTGCTCCATAGAAAGAATTCTTATTGAATATTATCTACAATAACTAACGGGAAAAGATGTTATTTTGTCTAGATAATAATAAAACTAATACGTATATACATGTTTAAAATATAATTAATGACAATAATTATACAGGAACTCAGTCTCAAAGATGTTTATTTTAATATTGCCAGGGAGAAAATATTGGTACTAATTAAATTAGTACAGCACTCACAATGTAACTAGCTGGTGACTTAGTCCGTTATGTACTATACATTAAAAATACTAGGTAGTCGCTGACTAACCCAGAAATCTCTGAAGTCATAAAAGCTTTAAATTCGAAACACTAAAAACTCTTTTGTATAGAGTTTCCTCATGTCATATTGACTTTATGGAAAACTCTACCGAAAGAATTGACGTATGTGTGTATTACATGTAAGGGCCCAACATTACTTACGTCATATTCGAACAATTAATTCAAATTTCACGATTTTTGTTTACCTCTCTCTTAGCTAGTAACAATTCTTAAACTAAAATGATTTTTTTCTTCCTCTCCGTGATCGGCGGAAAAATTGTGAGGTTTAAGAACTTAAAATTTTTGACTCCCTTGTCCTTATCTGGTCACAAACAACTAAATAGGTGGGACCCTTGTGTATTCTCATTGAAGTCGCGTTACAAGATAGAGCGGAATTATTGCCGTATTGCAAATTAGAAAAAACTGAATATAATGTTGAAGTTCCTAATAATTGTACAATAAAAAGTGTACAAAAGGCAAGCTGCCATATGGCATTCCCTACCAGCTATACTATATTATATATTATAGCTGGGTATTGGTTTTCTATCACTTCAACACTGTTCGTGACATGTACTATTGTGTACAGTCGGTCTGAAGTCGAAACTCATAGAGACATGATTCATATATAATAGCATTTTACAAGCAGCATTCCTTTGCGATAAAGAACGATGAATCTCAAGTTTTGTAATCGGGAAAAAATATGAGTAATTATTTAGTAATAGATGTAATACAACTTTGTAACAGTGATCTGTATCTACATATATATGATATTTCGTCTATATAGACGAAATATCATATATATGTAGGCATATATTATACGGTTATATCAATAAAAATATCAAACAAGGTATTTTTATAGTTTTTATTCTGATTACAAGTATCAAAATTTTTGTAAATTTTAGGTAGATAGCATTTGTAGTTGCTGAAATATACTGTTGAAGATGACAGACAGATCTGCGGACGAAGTAGCCTTAGAGATCACCATTTTTGGTTAGAAACCACAAAAATAAAGTTAAAGTAGGTACAGAACATATTTTATAATTTAGTATAGAGCCTTAAATATTTAGTTATGATTACATTAAATAAAAAATACTTAGAATTCCATTCGCCATCAGTAAATATACTTTTTCTATGCCATATATTTACAATTTTGTATGCCAACATTTACTTGGCACATTTTTGTAGATAAATTGGTGTATCTACCTAATTTACTGGGTAGGTCACATTAGTTTTATCTAAACGTAAACGTTTTAAAACAATAAATAACTTTCCAATTCGAGGAACTCCTTGGCAAGGCATTTATTTTATAAATCAAGGCTTATCTAAGTAGAATATTCATATACAAATATATATTATACTACCTACATGGCGTGCCCATCAAAATATGCAAAAATATTTTTTTGTTTGACTTTTAATCTGTAATTAATTAGATAGCAAATTTATTGATATTTAAAGAATAGATGTAATAATAAGCGTAATCATATTCGATCTATTCGATTTTCTTCAAAACGTTGTTATAATAATATAATATATTAATAAATACTGTAATAATATTCCATATTCAATCCAAAATTAAATTCGCAATTTAACTGATTAATATTTTTAATGTTTCATATTAAGTGTAAATACTAATACAAGTTATAATAAATGCACGAAAATAGACCATTGTTACTTTATTTATAGTCACCATATTAAATTGAGGATACTTATTGAAATATATAATTAGTATACAGTTCCGTCTGTACTACAATACGTGGGCACACTATGAAGGTCTTATTAGAATTAGAACATTTAAAATGACAAATAAAATTGCTGAAAAACCATCTAATTGGTATTTTACCTGTCTCTAATTTCATGGGGAATAACTATACACAAAACAAGGTACGTAACAGTACTTGAACAACACGAGCCGTTCTCATCAATGAGAATGGTTATCTGAGGGGAGTCCCTCCTCAGTCGCGTGCGCATGCGCCTATATAAACCAAGCGTACGACGCGTTGATTCATTCGCATACATTAGCTGCTACCTCTTATACGTTCACTCTGTTGCGAAAAAAAAAACAAATCTATCAAAATGAAAGCCTACTCAGTAGTCGGAAATAAAAAGAAAGTGACAATGGATACAAACGCGACACGGCTCAAAGTCGTCGGAAATAATTGTATCATCAGAGTCTCTATCAACCAAGGAGAGATCGAAGTGATCGGAAATGACTGCACTATCGAAGTGGCGGACAACTATGGAGCGATCAATCTCGTCGGCGCTAACGGTGGCGTCACAATCAAGAGGCGACGGAACGGCGACAAGGTGCAGCTCGTCGGACATCGCTGCCGTCTCGTGGTAGACGGGCAGAGGAAGTCGACAGGGCTGTGTGATGCTCAAATGTCCCCGTTGACGCCGTTCAGCAAGGAGTTGGACGATGTGATTGAATCGATCTTCACATTCGTGATGCGATGATCGATCCATTATGTTTACATATGAATTTGCATACGGATGAAATGCTTTTACTATCACTGGATATAGTGCTGTGATGTCATATTGCGGTTATTGTTACTAGAGAGATAAACAAGGGACGTTTTTGTGTGTTGATAAATAATATTGTGATAACCACAAGGATTTCAAAGAAAATATGAGTATGTGATGATCTCCTTACATGGAGATGATCGACAGGGCATTAAAGACGTCGCAAAAGAAAAATAGGGAGCCGTTTCAGTCCAACTAATAGGAAATTTCTACGGATTCCTAAAGGAAGACTCAATTTTAAAGGCGGTTATTAGCATACTAAATTTAATATGTTGGCGTGAATATAGAAGAAGAAATGAAATTAAGGAGGAGCAAGATGCTCTGTACATTCTTAAGATCTTGACTATTATTATGCAGATCAATTGATATCATTACGGAAACAATCAGCTTTTCGCGGAAGTCGGATGTTTTTCCCCTTTATAATTGGACGCAGCGTGTTTTTATTTAATTCTATTTGCTCCAACATTACGGTTTACTCTATGTATTAACTGAACTACTGCTTTATTGTTTGTTCTTTTAAATAATCTGTGTATATTATATAAATTTGCGTATTGTATAATTTGTTAAATAATATATAACGAATTAAAGTATTTGTTGTTTTCACTGTAATAGACATAATTTTTTTACTGTTTTCATGTTATTGACTTACGTAAGATGACATTAAAAAAAAATTAAAATAATTTTTTTTTTAATTTAATCAATACCTCAATCCCTTTAGCAATGATATGAAACGCCTACTCAAATCTACATAGCAAATATATGTACATACAATGTATTTACATTATGTATGTATGTGTGTATTTATATATTTATGTATTGTATGTATGTATTTATACATATGTTATTTATATAATAGAATAATTATTTTGTTGTAAAGTTCTTATATAAAGTAGGACTTATATAGTATGTTAACGAGTATCCATTACTCTCAAAACTCAGGAATTTTATCAATTATAATTATAGTTTATCAAATATTTATTTAACCTGTGACCCAGTTAGTACGCACTGATAGTATTATATTATTATTTATATTAATTTCAAATTAACTTAAATTTATGCGCTTTTGAATAGTTATTTTCTATGCTATACCATCTATTTCAAGCAACAAGAGTTAGCTAGAATAATTACCCTGCAAAGCCTGTTTCAGAGATTAGCAATAGCAAACAGACAGACAGACAAAATATTGTTTTATGTAAGTACTGTAAACATTTCATATGCGTAGTGAAGAGTCGTAGTGAAGTGCCATTAATTTGAAATTACATCAATTACCAAATATATACTTAAACTTTATTTATTTGTGCAGATAGAAAATAAATTTGATGTATTATAATTTCAGGCAGCTATAGGCTACAGTTTACCATTAGGTGGGCCGTGAAAATATAATTGAAATAGTTTCACAATATAACATAATAAGCATGTTATCTGTCATTGCCAATGATAAGGTACGCGGATAGAAACACGGACATTCTAATTCCTTATCATGTGAAATCACGTACCGGCGGTTTCATTTGTACTCAAAATATTTATAAAGAATGCACTGAAATTACTCAATGTACTGTTAGCTATTGCTTAATTAAGGGTATTTTTGTTGTATGAAGTCATTCAAGTCAGTAATAACCATAGATTGTTAGATAACTGCAGCAAATTCGTTAACCTTAGTTAGTAGGTAGGTTAGGTAAGGCTCTAACTGCTTGGTGGTGGGGGGAAGGGGATCGTTAGTAATGTGGACTAATGATCCCATTGCTAGCAATGTACCATGTCAGATCGACTTCCACGCGGTTCCCCTTGGACACCATCGTGATACATTCCCGGTGAATTTGTCACGTTGGGCTAACTGATCTGACTTCATGTTCATCTTATCATCCTCCACTGGTACCCCGCCAGCGTAAACCGTTAGCGCAGGCGAGTGCACCATTCCATTATCATCCTTTAAAAAAAACTGCTTGGTGGTCGACTTGACATACTAACAATTTAATCAACACAAGTTGTAACTGTTAGGTTTATACTGTGGTATGGCATGGTTTTTTAACTGGAATAATAAGTTTACGGATCAGTATATATTATATACAGTGGTAGCTTTCCTTAAGGGATTATAATGATATGCTGCGCCTGCCTGCACTCACGGTATACGCTGGCGGGGCTCCAGTGAAGAATAATAGGATGGGCATGAAATTAGGCTAGTTAGCCAAACTGAAGACGAAATGCCTGGCGTTTCCTCTTGGTTCTAGCCCATTCACGCATGACCGTAATATCTCCTTTGGACAGTTTACATCTATCCTGAGGAGATAAAAACCATCCCTCCAAAGAATATTCTTCAATTGTCCCTGACGGATCTAGGTAGCGGACTCTGAATAAGGCCGAGAAGTATACATCTATGTAGGTGCTACAGTTCCAAGCAACCATAGCCAAAACCCCCCAATGGTTACTATTCTCCATTACTAATAATCTGTCCCCCCACCCTCTCCCGCTTTGATAAAATGGTAACTACCGCTACGAATAGCATCACGGTCATCACGTAAACACGTGACACCCGCATCACCACATGTCATCATATGTGTTGCCTGGTGTCTGGTGGACAAAGTTCTCATGCCTCCATACTCTGTAAATTCACTGAAACACAGGCAGTCTTTTTAATGAGTGATACAGACGACTATTGCGATGTCCACCTCTTACCTGTGATAGGTCTATACAAATTTATTTCTTTCTAAATGTATTTATAAAAAAAATTGGTACATATCTCGCTTCAAACACTTTCATTTACTCATCTTGTACATGCACACCGGATAGAATTACTAATGTTTGTCTAATGAGTCAACTTACCGGGGATTTTACCAATACCCTTCGTTTATTATGGATCAAGGCATTCTGACATATTTATAAGGTCAAATCTTAAGGATTTCTAAGATTAATAGTTGCAATTTATCAATTTACCTATAATCAACAATCTTAAATTGTTTTTGATCCGTTTTTAAATTTGGAATGCAACAGATTTTAAATTGTGGTGTTCAACGATTCCAAATTTAAAATAAGATTTAAACAAATAGAAATATAATACTTTTCGTGTAAATATTTTAAAATCTAATATTATTTAATGCCAATTTTGTGTTATCATGTTTGAGTATATAGGTACTGTCGCCTCTAATAACACGAAAACAATTTTGTTCCTTGTCACAATAATACACTATTATGATAATGTTTAAAAATATTTCGAAATATCTATAATGTTATTACGATATAGTAGTATATATTAGTATATATATATACATATAACCACGAATGATTATATCCGTCTTGACTATTTTTCTGTACTAATAGATAACATAATCGGTGGGTCGGTTTGATTGATAAGATATACAATAATTTATGAGACGAGAGGACCTTTATGGGTGTTTCAAGATTTAAGTCTCTACTCGTCACGACAAGATCTCGTGGGTGGCACAGTAGGTATATCTAGTATTGTCAAGTCTAGTAATGAACTTAAGTAAGAAGGTGAGTAAAGTAACAGTGAAGCTCTGAAGAGAATAAAAAATGTTTCCCTTTTTAATGGATAAATATGGAATGGTGCACTGTTGTGCGCTAACGGTATGTCAGCTGGTAGGACACCAATGGAGAATAATAGGATGACCATGAAGTCAGGTCTGCCAATTGTGATAACATTGGTCAGAAATTAAGCATGATTCCAGGGAGAATTTCCAGGGAGAATTAATGGCAATTCCCATTAACAACACTGTTCTCCCTTTAATTCCTGGATTTATACCCGATTGGGCACCAATGTTGGTCAGAAATTAAGCATGATTCCAGGGAGAATTTCCAGGGAGAATTAATGGCAATTCCCATTAACAACACTGTTATCCCTTTAATTCCTGGATTTATACCCGATTGGGCACAAAAGTATATTTAATTTCATATTTAATCTTATATATAAAATTCTCGTGTCACAGTTTTCGTTCCCATTCTCCTCCGAAACGGCTTGACCGATTCTTATGAAATTTTGTGAGCGTATTGAGTAGGTCTGAGAATCGGCCAACATTTATTTGTCATCTTCCTAAACGTTAGGGGTAGTCCACCCCAAATTTTTTTTTAAGGCGAAACAACGTTTGCCGTATAGCTAGTATTAGATGTATAATAGGATAAACAAAAAACCATAAAATGATCGCTTAAAGGGATTAAACTGACGTGACGCGGTACAATATAACCTATCTAGTTAACACATTTGAGGTAATTACAGTTAACTTTAACTAGCAAATATGACATTGATTAGAGTGACACCATCGTTATTTTAAAATAGGACTTTTATTAATTCTATAGGTAACAATTTTTTATGTGGACCGTATGTAGTTTTTGTCGAGGTCTTATCGCAGTTTGGGACGGTCGTTACCGGAATTAAAGAAAATTACGTCACGGTACACAACCGAAAAATAACAAATACATATTAGATGACTCGAAAATAGCCTGCTTGTTAGTTATGGTTCTCAAATCTCATCAGGTAGACCACCTGATCTAACTGATAAGATTTGAGAACCATAGGATAAGAGTTCTATATAAATATAGAGTCACCTGATGAGATTTGAGAACCATAGGATAAGAGTTCTATGTAAATATAGAGTCACCTGATGAGATTTGAGAACCATAGGATAAGAGTTCTATGTAAATATAGAGTCACCTGATGAGATTTGAGAGTTCTTTTTTTAAATATTTTTTAATTATATAAATGGGATATTGAATAATTTGATGTGGGAAATAGAGCGGTGTTTCAAAGCGAGCGAGAGAGGTGTGCAAGAGGAAGAAAGAAATAAAGCAAGCTAGAAAAAGGAAAGAAGGAACTAGAAAATGAAATTTATGGATCCAAGAAAGCTTATTGTTACAGTTGGTTTTAATATCAAAGTTATATAAAAATATACGAATCAGTAAAGGGTAGGTAACTGATGTCTAGATAGATTAGTCAATAATCTGTGTTTAGGAGTATCAGCTCCGATTCCCTTGGTAAAATTGCAAAATGCACTTATGTATTAAAATAGTGATACAAGAGGAAGGTTTATATGTATAATACATGTACACCCGGGCGAAGCCGGGGCGAGTGGCTAGTATTTAATGAACACATTTTATTATTCCTTCAATTTCAAGGAAATTTAGAAACTTTAATAAGCATGTATGTTTCAAATCAATAACAGTGTTGACCTACATTTCCTTATATTATATATAATGTTAATGATAATGTTAATATACAATGTTAATGAGATATGGTGAAGGATTCCCCGTCACGTGCTTGTTTTAGGGTTTCGCACCAGAAAGATAAATCCCTTTTTGGTACAGGTACAAAATGAAGATACTAGTAGAACTCATAATGCCTCTGCAACTGATTAAACGAGTTAAACCTCAGCTCAGGTCATTTTAATTTCGCGGTTCTATTTTAGGAAATCGAGATAGTTATTCATATTGAATGTGATGATATTTTGCACGAATACTGTTTTATGTTTTTATAAAATATCGTTCACAAACAAATTTAGATATGGCAGCCAACGAAATATCAAACATATTATTGTATAACACTATTCTGATAATAGTTATAAATTGGGAGGAAAGGTATTGTTAGTAATGGGAACTAGTAATCCCCATTGCTAGCAATGTACCATGTTAGGTCGACCTCC